CCAAGCCCATGAGCTAACTGCCCTGCCACACTGGATTCCCTCCTGAGCTGGCCTTACTAGTTCAAGGACAAGCACAGCCTGGGGTCCAGCAGGGAGCAAGGGAGCCTGACTTAGGTCCACTGTAAGGAGTGTTGCATTTGGGGGATGCTCCAGGACAGGCTGGATGGTTTAGGTGGGGGTTTTATGTATTTGTTCCCTGCCTTTTGTGTCCTTAATATCTATAGGTCCCTGGGAGAAGCATCTAATTGGCAAACAGGGCCTGTTCAGCTGACTTCCTAGGACATGGGAAGCTTTTCTTACCTCCCCTACCTGAACCCTTAAGTTCCTCCCCCCAAGTTCTTTGCACTGTAAGTGCCCAGGAGCCTGTGTGTGTATGTGGCAGGGATGGTCATGGGGGTGTCTGGAACCTCAGTGAGGCCTCTGGCTCAGCCAGAGAGGCAATAAGTTTGGGAGCATTCCGTTCTGGGCTCTAACCTTGCTGGTTTGTTGTGCTCTTTTGTAAGAGGAATTTCATACCTTGGAGACGCTTTGTACATATTTGTAATGACTTTATTAAAAAACTGTTTGTGCACTTCCAGCCAAAGTCCTTTGCGTTTTCATTTCCTTTTGAAAGGTTGGCCCCCAAAGATTATGGGAGGATCTGGCTGTGCACCCCAACCTTCCCTGGGGCAGAAGGCCACACATCTCCCTTCTCTGCTGTATTTCTGAGAACTCCCCAAGGGGAGGATTGGCCCAAACAGTACCCTTGGGTTGGGTGAGAGGTTGAGGGAACTTGCCTGACGGTTCAAGATCAATGGCACCATGCAGACAAGCTGATGGCTGTGCAGACTGAGGTCTCCTACTATGGGCACATGGCCTCTCTGGGTTACTTTCACCTACATTTACCTGGTCTAAGATGCTCTGAGCGATCAGGTTGTGGTTTCTTCCTAAGAATGGTGGGTTGAGGACAGGTTGCCTTTCTAGATAACAGGCGCCTTCATTTTCCCTGGGGGACCCACCCCTTTCCCACTCTCAGGCCATGCGACTCAGAGGAGTTGACCCTATCCTCCCACCCACCTGTGTCCCCACAGTTAGGGCTCTACACCTGATGCAGGCCTGGCCAGCAGTGTTCCAGGTCCCAAAGGCTAAAAGGGATTGGTGTGGGGACAAATTAACAAGTCAACCTCAGGACTCCTGCTAGAGCTTTGGGGAATCAGAAGCTCTTTGCTGGGGTTGTTAAGCTGGTAGAACATAGGCATATACGTATACATATGCATATACATACACACATAGCTTCTGGAGGCCATCTTACTGCTGCATGGGATCTGTCTGGAAATCAAACTGTCTCAGAGGAAAACAGAATGGAGGGATGGAAAGACAGGGTTCTAATGTCACTGGAGCCACTGAATCCAGTGATACCCAAGGCCCATATGGCTACATGAGCCAAAGAAAGCCTTTCTCTTATTTAAGCCATGTTTGAGTTGGTTTTCAAATGATGGCAACCAAAAAGATCTGCCTGATGATGTTTTTGTGGCTGGTTTCATAATGTTGTCCTGAGAGGCATGAATTGTCACCTAATGCTATTAATTTCCAGGGTGCCTGGGCAGCTCAGTCGGTTAAGCTATTAATTTGCATTTTAAATATCCATCATAAGCTGGCATCCAGGCAAACTCTTCTTGAATCATCAGCTCATGCGTTCTGGGTCTATCCTCTGGTTAACCACTGTGGTGGGCCCTGTAGGTGCCCTGTCCAGATCCCTCCTGACCCGATCTCCCAGTTCTGTGTCCTGTCCTGCACCTTTGCGTGTTCTGTGACACCTGACACCTTCAGGGGCTTGGGGCCTCCTCAATGGAGAGCTTAAGTACCTGAGAAGCACCCCCCACCCCCACCCCCGCCAACAACCCATAGCCAAGAATTGACAGTGTGCCAGAAAAAACCTCAGGGTGGGACAATCTCTGAAATGTAGCTGAATTCTCCAGAACTCTGTGGGACCACCCTGAGCTGGGACTTCTCTGACAGCCACCCTCTTGTTTGGTTTCTTCCCCCTCCCTTACTGGTTTCTCCTGAGAGTGCGTCCTTAATAAATCACGTGCAACTCAACGCATCTGCTTTGGACAGATCCAGACAACACCCACTGCATGAATTGCTTCTCCCCATTTCTCCTCAAAACAGTCCACCTGGGTTCAAGAGGCAACTGGAGACTCAAGACCACGAACCTAAGTTTCATCGACAGATGATATTTATTGGCGGAAGGGAACTTAAGGGGACATTAAAAACACCGAAGGTGGCTCTGTTCAGCCCAGAGCAAAATTACTAAGAGATTCTGGGACTCACTTTACATTTCTTCTTTCCAACCCCAAGTCTTAGCCGCCTGGTGTCTCCAAGCATGTCTCCCATTCTCCCGTTATGAAGGTAATGAGCCTCTCACATCCGGGTCCAAAGCTCGCCTTCCTATTCTCACATTCATTATGCTCAAGATCTTTTACATTAAGACGGCCATTTCCAAGAGTGTCAGAAACCTCAGTCAGTGGGTCACAAAATATTAAAAGCAGGATACCCCAACCT